TTTATACGTTAATAACTTATATCCATACATATATAGATAGATATTACTTGTCCAAGATCATTTAGAAGTCATTATCATACAAAACCCCAAAACCTTATGTACAAACACAATCAAACATGACCAACAAAAGAAAACAAAAGATTAAAAGACAAAAGCCTCATTCATGAGGCGCTCCTTGGCTGATATCACAAAAACTTGGGTAATCTTTCACAGGCACACTAAGGCAGGACATCTCGCTGCTCACCTACATACATATACATATATATATATATATATATAACGTAGTGAACTAAAACTCAGTGAATAACATCAGAGTAAAAAAGTTACATGAATGAGTTCTAATACTTAAATAAAATCATTCTCACTTCAATCCCATATTATAATGGAATGACCTTAGGAACAATATAGGACAGAACGACCTAGGGTCCAACGTATAATAGATGTACAAAGTAGAATAGTTCATAATTTAACGGAACGACCTTAGGGGCAATCAATTACAGATGTGTAATGACCACTGGGTCAACACATATCGGATAATCGAATGATCAGATAGTCAAAATGACCTTGGGTCCATCTTATTAGATACACGGAACGACTTTTGGTCTATCATATGCTTTCATACTTGACAATTACATTTACAGATATGTATCATTTGGATAGATAGAAAGCTCATTCATATTCATAAAATCATAAATTCGAAAAGCTTGCCACATCAGAATCATTTAGAAAATAGCATATAAGAAAATATATTTACTAAGATATTACTCACAGTGATTTGATTGTTGTCACCGCTTCATGGATTAGCCTACATAACACATAAATAAAACACATTAGAATACATTGCTTAATCGGATCTTACTTTCCTTAATCAATATTGTGAGAACTTGAATATACAAATCAAGTAAATAATAATAAAATTACAATCTCAAATATTTTGATGGTGAATCCTAAGTGCAAATTAAATATTTGGAAGGTCTTTTAATTAATTTTTAAACCTAAAATAAATTTATGGTGAAAGTCTTTAATTTAGAAGCAAGATTTATTATTTAAAAAAATAAAAAAAATAAATAAATTTAAGTGCCAAATTAGTAAGCATAGTTTGATCTAACAATATTTGTATTTTAATGGAGATAAAAATTAAAATAATATAAAGAGATAATAAATTAGAGCCTTTTGGTTAGATATATATAAAACAAAGGATAATTATTTAGAGTTTTGTTTGGATATATAGAGAGAGCAACTCTAGTTTTCCTAACAAAAACCCTAACCCTTATTATAATTGTTTTGCACAACACTTTCAACATTTAGTAACAGCCACGGGAAGGAGAGAGAGAGAGAGATTTCCAGCACCCTTGTGTCTCAACAACTCTCTAAGGTATTAATCAATCTATTCTTGTTCTATTATAATATGTTGTTTACATAGTGTAACAAGCTGTAGACACCCCATTTTTGACCGTCCTCAAGACTTGGACGTCACTGTTTGAACACTCGGTGATTATCCTTGTTTGTGTTCGTTTGGAGTTCCCGGAGGCCTCGGCTCGCGCGCCTTGTCTCAGGATCTCCGAACTTGACCGTTTAGTGTCTAGTTTTGCACCAAACACTTGCATCTTGCCTTTGAGAGGCAGGGTGGGGCTTGTAGACCATCCCCACCCATCACCGGCAGTGAAAATCAAGAAACCTTATCAAACGAATGAATTTTGAACTGAAATTTTTACAGTAGATTAATTACATATTGAATTGCATATCTGATTTTTTTCATAATTTTTGGGAGTCAAAATTCATATAAATTGATACGTTCAAATTTGTCCAGAAAACTGGTTTTAAACAGTAAATTCGGGAGTGTTGTTCTCTTTGGGTATAAATCCAAAAATTATCAAATCAGTGTCATTAGAACCGGTTATGAGTCTAATTTCTTAAATTTTTATCCTTGCATTGATTGCTCATGTGTACTAAGAGAACCAACAATTTCTTTAAAGTGCTGTAGAAAACAACCTGTTTGGATATAATAAATTGTAGATAATTATTTTGATCAGCAAATCAAGTGAAACCAATTGGGTTTGAAACTTAGGATATATTAGTTGATATCTGGAGGTTTTTGGAATTTTTCGAATAGCGTGGAGTGGATTTTGTAATTTTCAAAGTTAGTGAATAGATTGGGAAAACTTGTTTAAAACTTTGTTTTATCTTAAAGTTATTTTTAGTTAAGTTTCGATCGGAACCCATGTCTTGGGTGATTTTAGACCTTGAAGAACATGAACTTAGGTAATATTTAAGAGTAACGGTGAGTTGGGTTGAGACGTGTTAATACGCTTTAGTTTGGGGTTACTTAGTTTTTATTCTTTAGTATTTTTAAATTAGTGGTGACGTGTAGTTTTCATACTTGGTTCAGGGCACTAGTTGAACTTTTATATTCTATTTGAGGATTATATTATTTCAGTTTCAGGTGAGTAGTTTCATGCTACATATTTTTATAAATGTTCCCCTACCTTGAACTGTTGAAAAATTAAATTGTTGTTTTAAGACTAAATTGCTTTAATAAATTATTATATTATCAATTGAATCAAATTATTTCTGAAACATGTGTGAACTTGGCATACTGTAAACTATTTGTTTTGTTCTCATGTTTATAATGATGAACTACCATGTTTTGCGAAACTGATTTGTATTAATTATTGGGACCATATGTGTATTTAGTCCAGGGAAATTATTCCACTGTGTGTGGTGACTCTGGCCACTAGGGAACAGATCCGGGTTGGGCCGTGATGACTCTAGTGCTCAACCAACACTTTCTTCTCCAGATCTGAGTTTCATACGCGTTTTCCAACGCCCCGTGCAAATCGTTTTCGCAAAAATATTCGGTTTCAAGCACTTTGAAGCGATTAAATTTCGGTTTCGGAGCTTCTTTTCGCATTTTCGCCACTTGAGGTAAGTTTGTCTCAACATTTGGTGTTCATGTTATAATCTGTTTTAAGTGGAAAATGTCATTTATCATGTTCTTGCGAGACATGAGTATTTTAAGTGTTGTACTGTGGAACCTTTTTTTTGAAACAGATTTTATTTACCAAACTATATGCCAATCTAGTTTCTGTGATATATATATCTTATTTTGGAATTGAGCCATGTTTTCAAAACTGTATTTACTATCCATGTTGCTACTTACTGAGCTATCAGTTGACTTAGTTTTTATCACTTCCAGGTGTTAGAAGGACTTAGGGTTGACTCATGGCGTAGCTGAGACTCGATTGCATGGACCTCTAGGACATACATTTATTTTGTTTTAGATTGTTATGTCAAGTTTGTGCATACTTCTTTTTATTTTTTATTGAGGTTCATTTAGGATTTTTTTTTTTGTGGGCTGTTTATATCCCATAAGTTTGGATGGTATTGATTACGGTTGGTTTTGCCGTTTATACTTGTGGCATGTCACTGGATTGAGTTTGGTTATTTATTACTGGACTTTTGTATAGTTGCTCAATGTGATTATGGATTAGTGGTTAGGCTTACGTGTGCCTTGGGCTGAGTCCCTGTGGGCCACGGCCGGTCATACGCGGATTTAGGGTGTGACAAATATCCTTATGTCCAATTCTTACTTGTTAGGTCAATCATAAGGCTTATTTTGTGCTTAAGGATGCTTGGAAGAAAGAGATGATACAAATATAGATAGAATATGACTTTTCAAAACATGTTAAAACATGGTACTTCACTCGAGCGCAACATTGGTCGCTTAAGCAAACCACATGGTCTGCAAAAGTACTAGATGGTCTGAATCTAAGCTCGATGTTTGCTTGAGCCATTGACCAAAATAAACTGAGGTTGCTCGAGTGGGCACTTGGTCGCTCAAGCCTTGTGCAAGGTTCTGCAAAAACACTAGATGCATGAGATGTGCGCTCGAGCGGTAACTACTTCGCTCGAGCAATTTGGTTGAATTCTGGGTTTCAAAAACAAAATTTTGTGTTTCAAAACTTGAGTCCAAAGTGTGAAACTTCCAAAAACTCTTGTATGACTCAGTTTATAGCTTGGAAACACTTAAAAAAATATGAACATGCAACCAATATCAAAACCTTAGCTCAAAACTTCATGATTTTGCAAAATTGAAGCTTAAACTTCATGCATGTATGACCTTGGCTTAGATTCTTTTCTACGACTTTTCAAAACATGGAATTGAGCTTCAAAACAACATAATTGATGGATGTATGTATTACAACTCTCAATTTAAACTTAAATGACAAAATCATGCTAGAAAATGATGCAACTCTATAAAATCATGCATGCATGTAAGAATAAGCCTCAAATTCATCATCCTTAGCTTAATTCTTGTGTCTAAACTCATAATTTTCTTGAATTCACATATTAGGTGACTTATATTCATGAATTGAGGATCAAATTCTTATCTAGAGTCTTTAATTACACTTGTTCTTGTAATTTATTGAGTTTCTTTTCTCAAATCTTCAATCTTCAAGCCAATACTCTAAGGTCAAGCTCACTCTCTCTCTAAAATGGAGTCTCTCTCTCTAAAACTCTCCTCCAGTAAAATTTTGAGTTGAAGATTATCAATTCACTCGTCTCTTATCATATATATACAAATTGATTAGCTTAAGGTGCTAATTAGGGATTAGGTTAAATAATTACAACTTAAATTAATTAATCAAAACATAATTTCTCAAACTGAATCTATTTTTAATTAAACTTCCTAAAAGGTTCTAAAAATTATGCCATCCTAATTAAACTTACCAATTTTGATTTCTGAAGTCATCAAGGCCTTCAATTTTAGATCTTAAGTAGAAATCACAATAGATATTCCAACAATGAACAAAAATGTATACAAATACACATTAAACACATAGTAACATTCAAAATTAAATCGATAAAGGCATATTATGTGATGGGGTTGTCACAATCTCCTCCCCTTAAGAAGTTTTGGTTCTCTAAACTTGTGTTACCTTGTATCAGAAATAACTCGAGATACTTTTGCCTAATTTCATTTTGCCGTATTGTTCCTTTCATTCTACTTTAACCATAGGAATTTCTCTATTCTTCAATTGTTTCACTTGCCAGTTGATGATGTGAATCGGTTTCTCTTCATATTTCATATTATCATCGAGAGCTATCTGGTGATAATCAATAACATGGAACGGATCTTGGAGATAGCCCCTCAACATTGACACATGAAATACATTGTGCATTTGTTCTATTCCCAATAGTAAAGCAATCTGGTATGCAATTGGATCGAGCCTTTTCAAAATCTGAAATGGTCCAATATACCAAAGTAATAACTTTATTTCTTACCAAACCTTGATTGACCCTTCATCGGAATTACCCTAATGAACACATGATCACCGGTATCATATTCAAGAGCCCTTCTTCTTTGATCCGCATAACTCTTTTGTTGGCTTTGCACAGTTTTGAGCATTTGCTGAATGATCTTAATCTTCTTAGTGGTTGTGTACACAATCTTGAGACCAAGGAAAACTTTATTCCCAACTTTTGTCCAAAAACTGGAGATCTTCATTTTCTACCATATTTGGTGCCATGCCAATGCTAGAGTGGAAACTGTTGTTGTATGCAAATTCCGCCAATGGCAAATAAGTTTTCCAACTTTCCTGAAAATCCAAAGCACACATTCAGAGCATGTCTTTTAAAGTTTGTATAGTCCTCTTTGATTGCCCATCGATTTGTGGACAAAAAGCAGTACTAAAGATCAACTCGGTTCCCATTGCCCTTCGAAGACTTTTCCATGATCTAGACACAATTTTGGATCCCTATCAGAAATAATGGATACTAGAACTCCATGCAAACGAACAATTTCATCAATATAAATAGTGGCAAGTCTATAAGCGTCATAGAAAGTTTTCACAGGTAGAAAATGTGCAGGTTTGGTTAACCTATCCACAATAACCCAAATAGATTTCATACGTCTAGGTGTTCAAGGTAGACCAACAATGAAGTCTATGATTATGTGCTCCCATTTCCATTCTGAAATAGGGAAAGGTTGAAGTAGCTTTGCCGGTCTCTGATGTTCAACTTTAACTAGTTGACATTGGAGGCATCTGGACACATATTCTGCAATTTCCTTTTTCATGTTACGCCATCAATAATTTTTCTTCAAGTTTTGATACATTTTATTGTTGCCCGGATGCATTGCAAACTTTGACTTGTAAACCTCTTCTAAGATCCTTTTCTTTAAGTCAGAAATATTTGGAACACAATCTCCCTTGAAATTTCAATACTTGGTTCTCAACACTAAATCCCAGTTCATCACATACTTTCTTAAGAAACTCATCCTCCATTTGTTTTTGTTTGATTTCTTCAATAATCACCAGTTGAGCTGAAATTGTGGCCAACACGCCACTTTGTTAATGAAACATCGCTTCAATTTCGGATCTTCCCAAGTCTTTCAACAATTTTCTCTGTTCAGTAAGCAAATATGCCAAGTTTCCCATTGACTTCCTACTAAGAGCATGGGCTACTGTATTGGCTTTGCTCGAATGATACTGAATTTGAAGGTCATAGTCTTTAATCAGCTCTAACTATCTCCTTTGTTGCATGTTCAACTCCTTTTGAGTGAAGAAGTATTTTAAACTCTTTTGTGTTTTGATCTTTTGTTTTCTTTTGTTGGTCATGTTTGACCATGTTTGTACATAGGCTTTTGCGGATTTGTATGATGATGACTTGTGAATGATCTTGTACATGTAATATCTATTTGTATATGTATGGATGTGAGTTATTAATGTATAAAATGTTTTTGCCTTTGTCATATATGCACAGTTCATTGGATAAAATTTTATTATTTTGTTTTCACTTTTGGCCCCATATATTTAATTATGATTTGAGTTCTGTCTCAGGTCGTAGGTAATCTTATGTTTACTAGCCAGTTATGATCCAAACCTCTAGTAACGGGTTTGAGTCATGACAAAGTAGTATTAGAGCACGAGTTAATAACTCAAACACTTGTCCAATTAAGCAATAAAGTGTTGTGGAGAAGTGGTTTGGAAATACTTTTCTGATCTTGGGGGGAGCTCGTGATCCGCTGATAGTCACCTGAAAAGGAATAAACACTCTGGTCGGGGGTGCTGGAATTAGCACACCGACGAACAAGTCAGTCTCCACACTCAAGAATGCTTGTATTCTAAGTTAAGCACAACAATTCTCACATGCCTCTTTCTGGCTGATGTTCTTCTATTTATATCCTTTCTTTCTTAGGCCTCGGGATTGGGTCCACTTCCAACTCCATATTCGGCACATTTTGTAGTAGACTGCTCTTTACTCGGCCCCTTGCTCAATCAGCTATTTGGCTGAGTAAAGTTGGATTCGAGCTTGCGACCCGATGCCGAGTGCCACGAATTTCGACTCTCCCAGGTCCGACTATTCGGAATCTCTACGACTCCCAATACTCGGGCCCCACAATTGCCCCCCAAGCACTCCACTAACGACAGTTGGCTGGAGTGTTTGGCTTCGAACTCGAAAAGTCAGAGCCGAAATTCGGCGGCTGACCGTATTCCAATGCAAATGTCTGAACACACACTTCTCGGTTATCATTTCAACTTCCCGCCTCTTCGTACACTTCTATTTATTGTGATTTAAAATTTCGACGTCTTTTCAAATGCATAGACGCTTTTAGACGCTCGTCGCTGGACTGCCTTCCAAATTAGTTCTGTAACTTCCTTCTTTTCTCTATCTTCTTCGCTTCTTGTAAGTTCTCTCCGCTTCTGCTTTGAATCTCTTTCCTTGCTTTGTTTTTTAGCTTAGTATATACCTATTGGCTGGGGGAAATGGTGAAACATTTAAAAGATCTCCTCTCATCGGATCGAATTTCTGGCTTCCGATGCCATTTCTCCATTCTGGATGACGTCCGTCTATCACTTGTGACAGACAGCACCCTCGATATGGAGAGGGTTGATGAAACCATGATCGTCTTCTCTCTCTTATCAATCGTAGAGGGTGGAGTTCGTTTCCCCCTTCACCCACTCCTTAGGGACATGCTCTGCCATTGGGGCTTAATCCCTTCCCAACCCAATGTCAACTTCTTTAGGATCGTGATGGGGATTATCGCACTAAACCATTGCCGTGGGCTTAAACTTGGCATTCCCGCTATTCGGCATTGCTACGCCTTGGCCAAGTCTTCTAGTCGGCACGGGCGTTATTTTCTTAGGGCGAAAGACACCGACCATCAACTAGTGACCATGCTTTCCAGCTCTAGGAAACGAGTCAACGATGTTATGGTCGTCGTCTAAGGAAACTAGGAATTCGGCGAAGGCGAGGACCGCCTTGATCGTATTCCTAGGCGAAGAGGCGAACCAGGTGGCCGAGTGTCTTCTTTTAATTATTTATTTTTCGTTATAATCTATGAAGCTTCATTTTCGGGACCTCATGGTTTTGCTTTTGCAGGAAACGATTTGAAGAAAGTCTTGACCTCAACTGACGACGCCGTCCTTTCAGAAATCCAGGCTGCGCTCAAGTATTTCGGCCGGTCGAGTCTTCAGAAACAAGGGAGGGTGGCCCATGCTTTGCTTCGCTACGAGCCGACTTATACAACCTTTTCGGCAGCGGAAAACATCCCAATTCTGAAGGGTGAGGAGTGTCTTACCGCCCTTATCTTGATTGATTTCAAAAATTTAAGGCAAGTTAGTGTTGGGGAATCAGATTTAGAGCGACCAGAAGTAGCTGAGGTCGCTGAGTCAGACCAATCTGAAGCCGAGGTCGACGAGGCTTTAAAGTTAGCATTTGAAGAAGCTGGCCTTAATTCGGTTGATCCTCCATCCACTTCGGGTCGAGAGGACCTTTCACTTGACAATATTTTTCACGGTCTGGAGGATCTTCCCTGCGCGTACACAGAAGATATGGCTGGGTTGAGCCTCACTAAACTTGACAAGAAGGCGAATGTGGAAAGGATGGCCGCGCGGAGAAGGGCGGAGACCATTCGGGCTACCGAATCTTAACACCCACCTATTGGCGAGTCCCAATCCTCCTTGCCTATTATTGAGGAGGGAAAGGCAAAAACGGGAGTGTCGAGGCAGAACCTTTTGTGCGGGCAAGTGTAGAGGTTGAGCAAAGGGTGGAGAAGTGCACTGCCAAGGTCGAGGCCGACTTCGAAGAAGACCATGCCGACAAACGACCTCGTTTGCAAGGATTGGATGTGATTGTACCTTTTGTTATTCATCCGAAGATAAAGAATACGCTGATCTCCTCCGATGCTTCGACAATCAAAGATCCAGCGGTCGCACTCGGCATGGCCACGTTCGTTTCACTGCCTGCTGACAAGGCAGCTTTTTGGGCGAAGCTGGATCTGGTTGCAATTGCGTTGGTCGCGCAATCGGCTCTTTTGGTATATACCTTGGCTGTCTTTTCACTTAACGCGAATATTGTTTTGGTCTAAACTTCCTGTTTTGCAGGCCGTTGGAAGGATAGCCGAGATGGGCCGTCGTCATCACGATGCCGTCGAGCATATTGGCCGCTTACAAGCGGAGGTTGACGACCAAAGGAGTAGGGCTGAGTTCGAGGTAGAGAGAGCCCGCAATGTTGAAGAATTGAGATCGGTCACCGAGAATAGGGCAGATGCGAGCGACGACGCACTTAAATTGGCCCAGGAGGCAATCTCTAAATTGGAGGTTGAGTTGGAAGAAATAAAGGCGGCGAAGGAAACAGCCGATCTGAAGGCTTCTAGCGCATTCGATGCCGGGAAAAAATATGCTTTTGATGAATACGTAGACGAAGTCCCCAAATTTGAAAATCGGGGATTCAAACATGGCTGGCTCAAAGCCCTTGTTGCTGCTGATGTAACATTGGCTACGCCAATTCCATATGAGCAAGTGGATGTTGAGCCGCTGGAGTCTGACTCCGAGCACTAATTTGGGCAGCTCTTGTTTTTGTTTTAGGATTTGCGTGTATGTTTGCAACTTTTTATTTAGTAATTTTCAGCATTTTACAGCTTTTTGTCTAGTAATTTTCCTATGTAAAATGGCAACAATTTGTGCCTAATTTACTTAATGAAAATTCATTTTGTTCTTAGCTGTATTTAATGCATGGTATTGTTTTGTTGCTATCTTAGATCAAACGTTCTGTATATTCGCCAACTATATGATTAGGCCATTTAAAAAGCCAAAAATTTATTAATTAATCGGCATGGGGCCAAGATGCTCAGCCGATTAGATTAATAAATCTGCCCTTGCCCCAGCCAGTTTATGGACTTCAAGGCATTCGCCTATTATTGCCGATTAGATAATTAGGCCGTTTTAACAAGCCAAAAATTAGTGCATGAAGTGGCTGTGGCACATATCAATCGGCATAGGGCCAAGATTCTCGGCCGGTTAGATTAATAAATCTACCCTTGCCTTAGCCAGTTCATGGACTTCAAGGCATTCGTCTATAATTGCCGATTAGATAATTAGGCCGTTTTAATAGGCCAAAAATTAGTGCACGAAGTGGCTGTGGCATATATCAATCGGCATGGGGCCAAGATGCTCGGCCGGTTAGATTAATAAATCTGCCTTTGCCCTTGCCAGTTCATGGACT